GTCCAAGAAGGGCAGTTTTCAGTCCCAGCTTTGATTAACTTCAAATGCTAAAGTTCCCTCAACTGTTTCGAGGAGAATTAAGCTGCCATGCTTTTTTTAAATTTAATTTTTTACGTACCTCTCCATCTAGCTGGCCATGTAATAAACAGGCCAAGGGGGAGAAGAAACTCTTTAACCTGAAATTTGTAAAAGAGGTTCCTCGTGGTCAGTCACACAACTGACAGTGTCAAGCGCAGCTGCAGGTTTATCTAAAAAGTGTTTTATCATCATCTGCTAAAATGAGAAATAAAAAGGGGACTGTTAGTCCTCTTACCTCTCTCAGATTTAAATAGCACCTGAATCAGGTAGTCCATGACTTCTCTCTCTACTATGTCCTAAAGCAGTGTCCTCATGCTTGGACTTCATAGAATCATTTAGGTTGGAAAAGACCTCTAAGGTCATCAAGTTCAACCGTCAACCCAATACTACATGACTACTAAATTATGTCCTCAAGTGCCACGTCTGCCTATCACCTCCAGGGATGGGTGACTCCACCACTTACCTGGGCAGCCTGTTCCAACGCTTCACCACTCTTTCAGTAAAGAATTTTTTCCTAATATCCAGTCTAGATCTCCCCTGCTGCAGCTTGAACCCATTTCTTCTCATCCTAGCACTAGTAATTTGGGAGAAGAGATCAACGCCCACCTCCCTACAAACCTCCCTTCAGGTATTTGTAAGCCCTCCTCCATGTTTTCTGGCCTGAGCTCCCCATCTATTGTTGGCCTGGCTGGGGCCGTGTGTTGCAGACACCATATTTTAAGCATATTCACAAGTATATTTTTATAGGATCAGAGCTTTTGTAGTACAGAAAAACATCTCTCCAGCCAAATTCAAAATCCTCCATCTTTTTTTTTCTGGAGCCGGGGGATGTTGGCAGAATTCAGACAATTTTGGAAATGGTGAGCAGCTGAAGCATTTCTCGCAGTGTCAGCCCTTGAATGTTGCTGGAATTGGTGGGCCTGGCATCTCCTGAAAAACGTAGTGCAGGGTACAGTACGTTTGCTCCCAGACCCAAAGATACTTTACAGAACAGCATGCATGCTATTTTGGCCAGGTTTTTAACTTTCTTTCTCCATGTGATTTCTATGTGGCTTTAGTGGAGAAGGATATTCTCAACATCCTAAATTGTTATGCATCATGCTTTTCTTGTGTTGGAACACCTGTGGTTTCAGTGGAGCTTGCATTATTCCTTAGTACCAAGTAGGACAGCCCTTACAGTTTTGCCTCTTATGGCAAATTAGTCTCATTTTCTCTTTCAAATATCTGCTTAAAACAGATAACTGGATGCGTATCTACTGTATAGCCCTTGCTATACCTACAGTTTTACTTTCAGTTTATATACCTCAGCAGCGGAAGGGGGAAATAATTCTCAGAAAATCCTAAATCAGTGTAACCTACATGTGTTTTCCTGCTGTTCCTAAAACTGCACAACGGAGTATTGTGCTTCCTCACCAAGACAGTGAAATAGCAGTACTAGAGAGTGTAAATGGAAGTTCATCTGGAAACAAAAAATTTGTACGTGGATTTGGTGAGTTTGCCGGTCACTGCGGAAGATGGGGTTTCCTGAAAAAGTGAAAAACATGTCCCCAGTCAATACATGACTTTCCCCATCAGATGGTGCTCGAGGACAGATTAATTGGGCATTTCATTCTCCAGGCAACAAACTCTTTGATAACAACCTGAGGGAAAAGTCTCCTCTGCAAGCTCAGGTTAGATGGACCTTTTAGGAAGATCAAAAAGTGCGATTGAGCTTGCTTTTCTTTTGCAGGAAAAGAAAAAAAATTAGGAAAAGGCAAACCTTTGACTCAAAACAGAGCAAGAGTTGAATGAAAAGGGCTACTTGGGCCACAGCCCGTGTCACCTGCTGCTGTCATTGCTACTGAAAAAAGAGAACACCCACGGAACCACTTCGCGCAGGCGAAGCAGTGTCAGGATGGCCGAGTGGTCTAAGGCGCCAGACTCAAGGCGTTCTGCGCCTTCCCGTGGCGAGTTGGGTGTTCTGGTCTCCGAATGGAGGCGTGGGTTCGAATCCCACTTCTGACACCACTTTTAGATTCCCGGTTTCCCGTTGGGTCCTCATGTGTTGCCTGATCTAGTCGACAGGTGGCGTCCCTGACGGCAGGGAGGCTCGAATAAAATGATCTTCAAAGTGCCTTCGAGCTTAGGCCATTCTATGATTCAGTGACGACCCAGCAGTTAGTGGAAAAGAGCCTGAAAAGGGTGGGAGGAGCAGGAGTGAGGAAGGGAGAGGGCACTTGCGCAGAGACAGAGTCCCACGAGATCCGTAGTTCTGCTTCACAGTGTAATCATGCTGGGGATTCTGTGGAGCTCAAAGTGCTTTGGAAAAGTAACAATGTGCTAGCATGTTTTGAAGCTGGGGAAGGGCCTGGAGAATAAATCTTATGATTTAAACAGCTGGAGCTGTTTAGTTTGAAGAAGGTGAGACCTCATCACTTTCTACCACTGCCTAAAAGGACATTGTAGAGAGGTTGGTGCTGGTCTCTTCTCAGGTAATTAGCAATAGAACAAGGGAGAATGGCTTCAAACTGCAACAGGGTAGGTTTAGACTGAACATTAAGAAAAGTTTTTTTCACAGAAAGAGTAGTCAGATATTGGAATAGGCTGCCCAGAGATGTGGTTGAGTCATCATCCCCGGAGGTGTTTAAAGGTTGTTTAGATGTGGTGTTGGGGTATAAGGTTTAGGGGTGAAATTTGTAGAGTTGTGTTAATGGTTGGACCTGGTGATCTCAAGGGTCTTTTCCAACCTGAATGATTCTATGACATTTCGTAAAAAAACAACTCCAATTAGATATGCTTGTACTATGGGATACCCACTTCAAGTAACAATGATCTGAACGTGCACTGTACTAATGGACAACCAGAAAAGCAGAAAGGTTCCTGAAACCTGCATTCATTATTTAAAATTGTACCATAAAAAATGACAACTATTTGGAAAAAAAGTCAGGTTTCCCCAGTACAAGCCAATTTCTTGGTCATTATGAGCACATGAACAGAAAAGCTCCAGAGGGATTAAACTAAAAGGTGATGTGTGACATTTCTCATTTATTTATTTGGTCAGATTTCAGATGGGTATGATATAAAACACCTAACCTGGATCTGGAAGGAGGACATAGTTTCAAAACTGAAATCCAAACTCAAGGCTTCGTTCTTATTCAGACATGATCCCAATAATGTAGTGACAGAGTACCTGCTGACAATTTTACTGATAAAATATATTTTCCTGTTGAAAGACAAAATCAAATTTGTTTTTAAAGCTTGCTGGCTTTGTCTGAACCCAGTTTTATTTCCAAACAGGAGACGATCATTAAAGGATAGCTAAGTATTGCCTTCCACAGAAATCATTTGTTGACAATAGCCATGAACATCTGACTGAGATTTCTAGGGTTCACATAGCCATCCCTTTGCAGATTAGACTTTGCATTTGACACACAGCAGAAACTTCCATAGCTGGAACAGAGGAAAAAGACTGAACTACCTATGCCAATAAAAGAGTTTAGGAAGGTTTGACATTCCAAATAGATATGTGAAATAAATATTTTGGAAAAGCTGTTAGAAGAAGGAAAGTCTTAAATAATATCCATTTATCACCCCCCCCGCCTCCCCCCATGAACCTTTGAAAAAAATCTACCCTGTGATTTTAAAAGGAAATTCTGATTTTTAATAGTTATTTCAAAACAAGCTTAAATAAAAAAGAATCTTATTGTCCACAGATTTAGAAATGTGCTAATGAAAAAGAAAAGTTATGATTTCACAGTGTACATTCTTCAATGAAAGTTATCAAACTTGTAACAAGTAGAATGAAAACGATTTCTGCATTGTGCTGAAATGTGTATCTCTGCTAAAGCAAGCTCAAAACTTAAGACAGATTAAGTGGGACAGAAAGTGCAAATTCCTGAGAGCTACGGTTAAGTATCATTTATTTTAATGTACCCTCCCTTCCCATATGCACTCAGATGGCAGCTATTTACGCTAGGATGAAGAAGCCTGTGTTTCTGAGGGTTGTTATTAAGGTGCACAGTGACTTCAACAGATTCCAGGCCCCCGCTGTGCTACTTTTCTATACAAACAAATTAGACAGAACATTTTTGTTCCTTGGAGTGCATAGCTCAGACAAAGAAAAGATTATCCTTCCCCTTTTAGAGATGAGGAAACAGAAACAAAAACAAGTGTGTGACGAGGGTCACAAGCAGGAGTGAACAATCTTTCTTGAGTCTCAGTGGTCCCTGACTCAAACAGGAGACTGCTCGCTTTGCTTACGTGCAGTGCTCTGCAACTATTCTACTGCTGTGTTTGCACTGCAACCAAGAAACTAAGGTGCAAGAAGCAATTTTGAGTAAGAACATGATTTATCCACTTGAAGTTTTCTCTTTTTAGGGCTTCTGGTGCCCTGCTAAGTGCGCTCAGCTCATGTTGACATTAGTGAAGGTCAAGGCAATTCAGATTTCCTTTGGTGATTCTCAGTACCTTTCAAAAGCAACATATTGCCAAAAATTCAGAAAGTAAAAATTCAAGCTATTCAGGTCTTCTATTTGTTACAACTCCTTTCTATAAACTGTATTTGCAATACACGGCTCCTACAGCTTGTTCTTTCTTCCTCCTTTTCTGCATAACAGCTCTTCGAACAAACTGGGCTTCAGGAATATATTTATTCTTCTTACAAAGTCTGTATGTTAGGTGCATTGTGCAATTTTCAGTGTTATTCATATTAAAGCTCTGGTTAAAACAAGTATTATTTGATTATAAATAAAATCTGAAATGATATGAAATTTTTTTATGAACCCATTCATCACCGAACTTTCAACAACAATTTTCAGTGGATAACTGGGTATTGAACCTGTATGACTTGGTTTCACAAGAGATGATGTGATAAGGCACATTTCCATCTTATCTTAATAGTGGAAATAATATAATTAAAGCATTGCCATGTTAGTTATAAAAGAAATTATTTTTTTTCTTTATGTCTTCAGCTTTGTAATTGCTCCAGTATTCCTTTCACTTAATGGCATTGACTTTACCCAAATGGAAGTGGTTAGATCCACAATGAGGCTTGTTTGTTTTTTTAATGGATCCCATAGTCTGATCACATAGTCTAGAATCCTAATTCGAGACATCCGTGGTTTATTACCAATAGTTCTCTTTTTGCTGTGTTCAGTACGGCTGGTTCTCAGGCTTATTTCTCTGCCTTTCCCCTTGAGATGCCTGCCTAACTAACCGTGGAGGTGGCACAGGTCTTGCTGACCCATGGTCCGCAGTCAAATCCTCCCTGCTCAAAGTGCCAAATCTTGGTCTCGTCAGCAGCGGCTGCCTGAACCCAACGGATGGCTGAGGCAAGACGCTCGGCTCCTGCTGCTCCCCTCGTCCGTCCTGGCTCCCGTCAACTTCATTCTTCCACTCCACCATAAACTCTGGCAGTGGCCTCTGCTGTCTCAGCCTCTGGTCTCTCAAGATTTTCCCCGCTCTGGGTCTTAGATTGAGCACTGTGGTAGCAGCATCCAGCTCAGAGTCACTGCTGTCACCCACTGTTAATTGAAAGCAAAATGAAAATTTTAGGTGCAGAATATTACCGTTTCAGGAATATTCGAAAAACAGCACACTGAGCACGAGGAGCCATAGAAGAAGGTTTCCCCATGTTTTGTAAATTCACTGCTTTCTGATTAGACTCAGTATTAGGCATTTAACTCTGCCAGGACAGAGAATAGATTTGACTTACAAACATCCCTTTCCTCAAAACTGTGGTTTTTAGAAAGCCCTCACTCAGCTGCTCCTTCATCACCAAGTGCCCCCCTGTTTGGGCTGACATTTCCCCAGTTCTGGCTCTGGACATAGAAAATCAGGATACAAAAATGAGACATCTCACTCTCACATCCTATGAAATCTAATCTGAGACATTTCCAGTGCACAACACATACAGGGGCTCTAGAAACCTGACTTTGGGAAAGAAACATCAGTACCCCACCAAGTGAAGGATCTCCTACAGTCAATGTGCAGATGGGAGGAAACATCCTGTCCTTAATACACCTGAATGCAAGGTACCAAAGAAAATCCACAAGGCAAATCTGACAGGTTGCAAGTGCTGCAGACTCCTTCACCCCCTTACAGCAGGGTGGAAAATAGTCAAGAGAAAGCTGGCATGATTCTTTAGGGAATGCTGTTAAATGATTGCTATCAGGTAAACCAAGCTGGAAACTTTCTGGATGTGTACATGCACATATATTTTTCCCAGCAGACTTCTTTCAAATTAATTAATGCCTTCACCAGCACTTGCACTCTTCAGTCATCTGATAATCTTTTTAACAATCATTTATGAATGCCTTGGATTTATTCTTAGACTTAAGTCAGATATGATGTTTTAAAAACATCAAAGTAAAGAACTGTGTATTGTGGAACTGTTGTAAGAACAACTTCCATTAGTAGCCTACTTGTTATTTCTTCTAAAAAGGTGAGGAAGGGGTCAACAAAATATACCACCACATAATTGTCCATTCACCCAGATAATTATATATCAAGGAAGGTCTTCATCACATTGTGTTTGCAGGCTTTCCTTCCTCTAAATATGTCAAATAATATATTTTTTGACAATTAAATAATCTGGAGGCACATTTCCTCTTTAATTCTAGGTGACAGTAGGTGACCTCTGCAGACATAACTACAGAATAAAAGGCATCCTACATTCAGGAGAGCAAAGATGTAATTATTGACAGACAAAAACATAGTCTACTCGTAAATTAATTTGGGAGAGTGGGAAACTAATTGGAGTAGGGATCAGGACATTTTAGTGACTGTGCAGAGATTTAATCTTCCCAGCAAGAGATCTTGATGGTTGCTTGTCATGAAAGGAAAAGCTCCTGAGCGTTTTATAAGCATAAGAATGCAACCAGTAATAATCAAAAGTAATATATAGAACTGGGCAAAGTTTTCAAATCAAATGGTTGTCTTCCTCCAGGTTTTTAATTTCATTAGAATTCAAGAACTCCAATATAAAACATTCGTGAGTTGGGCAGAAAAAAAAAAAAAGGTTGTAAACCACTGTATTTTGAGAAGTTCTTAATGAGAACTGTCCTCATTCTCCTCTCTGTTTTTTTTACTCCGAGCAGTGCCCTCTATCCTGACTCTAATGAAAAAAAGAAACTAAATAGGCTCATAATCCAAGAGGGAGTTCTGGGCATTATGGAATAAAGACAAGAAACATGAGCCACGGCAGCATTTCTGGCGCATAATCGTTTTAGGCTGCTGCTTGGTCTGATGAGATGTGCTGGGAGAACTACACCACTACAGCATTTGAACAGAGAAAACCACACAAAATTCTGCTTGCTGGTGCATTTCTCTGCACTCAAATACCTGCTTTAGAACCCACTGCTTTTAGTGCCCTAAGACTCTTGCTAAACATCCAACACCTAGAAATATGCTATGAAGGTATTTACTCCTGAATGAAAGCATGTGCACATAAAACATTTAGTATTTATTTGAAAATTAATATGTTGTTTTCTCTACATCATCCCTGGAAAAAGTTTGCCTTTCCTAGGCAAAATGACTACAGAACACTAAGAGACAGCAGAAATTTCCATTACCTCTGGAAGATGTTTTATTCCTCACTCGTAGTTTCTCTGGGAGTTTAGTATTTTTAGGAAGCGAAAGGAATCTTTTTGTATTTGCAGCAGCCTGTGTGCAAAGAAAGAGAAGAAATGTTAGGTTAGTGTAGACTGAAGTACCTGTATAATGTATGTTAAGACACACAACTGAGGCTTGAATGGGTTTATGTAGCTAAAGAGCTAGAGAGTAGTTTGAGATTAGCTAATATGTGATCTTTTACTACACACTCAAGTAAACACTGATTGCTGGTTGAGGTCTGTGCTAACTAAAGTAAAGACTGAGTAATCTCAAGCAGCTTAATCAAAGGAAAGCCTAGTGATATGCCCTCTGAGATCAAAGTTAATAAATTTCTGCTCTCCAACCTCAACCTTACTGGTACAGGTTTTCCTAAGGAAAGAAAAGGCTGCAAGTATCACTTCATGGATTTAAGTTAAAGGAGAACAGAAATTGGATCTTAGAAACAAAATTCTTCAGTACGAGGGTGGCAAGACTCTGGAATAAATTTTCCAGAGAAGCTGTGGATGCTTCCTCCCTTGAGGTGTTTAAGGCCAGGCTGGATGAGGCCTTGAATAACCTCCTCTAGTTGAGAGGCGTCCCTGCCCATGTCAGAGAGGTTGGATTAGATGATCTCTAAGGTCCCTTCCAACCTAGGCCATTCTGGTTCTATGATTCTATGATCACATCATGCAACTCCAGTTTGAAACTTTTTATTATTTATTTATTAGTCAGCTGCAAAAATTAGGTTGGGACTTCTGCTTCAGCTCGGACAGAAGAACTAATCTGTATTCTGATCCTGCAAGCACTTTATACATATAAATGACTTTACACAGTTGACTAATCGGACTGTTGCTGACGGGGAAGTTAGGCACCAGCCTAACAGCACCAGTGATCATTTACCAGTTCAGGGCATAAAATCCTTGTTTTCCCAAGACTAAGCTCAAAAGGCCCTGGGAGCAGAGCACACATATATCCTGAAACATGAGAGGTACTTTCCAAGTTGTTTGGTTGTAAAATTCACAATTTTCTCAAGGGCATCCTTTCTTATATTTGTTAAAAAGATTTCTTAGGACCTCTACAGTCAACTAGTTCTCCTCTGCTTGTACTGTTCATTGTTGCATACTCAAAGGGAACATGAAAGGAAATTTATTTTCCAATTTATTTATTTCCTCTTCAGATGTTGTTGTGATGTTCCAGACCACTAAGCTTCCCTCTGTGGTGGACTTATCCAAAGATAGTTATTTTTCAAATTACAACCTGTGCATTTTAAAAAGCTGTCAGACACCCTGTTTCTCTCCCTGCCCTAAAAAAGTCTCAGTCCTGCCAAGTCCCTTCATTATTCCACCTGGTAAATAATTTATTTAAATGACAAACACAACATAAATAACTGTGGTTGAGAGGAAAAAAAAACATTCAGAAACAGACTTATTGTCACAATTAACACCACAGTACCCCTGGTAATGATCACAAATGAGACACAGCTCTTATTGGAGATATCATTCCAGCCTCAGCCTCCGAAGGACAACTCTATCAGTGAAGACAACAGTCACTAAGTATTTCTGTAACATGGATTTATGTATTTAAAGGATGGTTAATTTCCCTGATATCTAAAATGCAAAGAAGATTTCAGGGATCAGCTTCTCTGCTGAATCAGTGTGCTCCATTCACATATGGTCTGCAGTTTACAGTGAAGGTATCGCAGGATTGCCTCAGAAAGCCAAATATCATGCCACAGCATTTCTTGTAGGCAGAGTAGGTTTTCCTATTCTATGTCAAAACCTGAAGTCCTGACTACATTTTATGCATCCTAAAGAGCGCACAATGTTTTTCAAATGAAGAGGTCACTTTGACTGACTTGATTAAAAGTTCTTTCCCATATTTTGGAGCATGCTCTAAGTATAGTTTATATGTCTCAAAGTCATTTTCAACCTTGAATATCCACACTTCACAAAAATACTGATAGAGGATACTAACCACCCCTTAGCAGTGCATTGTGTACAGAACCTGGTCAGCTCTTCTGAGATAAAATTATAGCAGCAGATCCCACTCCCATATCACATTCTCCAAAGACTGAAGTTTTGCTGAAGGAATCAACAAAAATTAAGGGTCCCAAGTATGTAATTCAAGGTGTAAGTGTGATATTGTATACGAAGTTGTCTTCCAAATTCAGGATATATTTTGTCTGCATTTCAGAAGATTTTTCTTCCGCATGACATTTAGCTACAAAGAGCCTTTTTCAATAAAACAACCAAATTGCAAGTACCGGTCTTTCTCTTGACAGGCTGTTTGTTTTCCTCAGGCTCTCCCTGAAGCTGTGCCGGCGACGGATGAGAATTTCTTTGGCCTGCTTTTCATTTGCATCTGCAGCCAGGCTATGTCGGTTATATGACATTGTCTGAAATATAAAAGCAGTGGTCACATTCTGAAAAGCATAATGTCAACTGTGTTGAACTACATGCACAGTGAAAAACAGGCTTTTTGCTTTAATGTTTTAATGAGCATCATAGATTCTTGTGAACAAAATCATATTGCAGATGATTAAGAACAAGAACAGTAGTTATGCCAGCATTTTTGTAGTCATCTGCTTCACGAGCACCAGTTCTGATTGTTGGATGTTTTGGATTTTTTAACCTGCTGATATTTATAATGAAAGCTGGAAAAAGCTGTCTTAATACAGTGTTTACCCCCATATTGTACTAGCTCAGTCAATATATCAATAGAGGACACACATTCGATAGCATTAAGATGAGTTACCTAGGGGAAAGTCATTTTTACCCCTAGCAAGCTGAAGCTCGCTGTGCCTTTGAATAGTTTCCAAGTGCTCAGGCGTTCAAACTACTTAGCCACAGGAGGGTAAATGGGAAATGTCCTTTTGCTTTTATTTCACTGTTTTTCCACCTCGTCACCTCTGCTCTTAATACAAACAACTTCATGACTGGAGGCAAACAGGAAATCTAATCCCATATCATGAAGCAACCAAAATACTGCTATAAGTGGACGGCGATAGGTTGAATTTGCACCTATGATCCTTTTTAAATAATGTAAGTATATTGCAGGTAATATAATAAAAATATTAAGCTTTCTAGATACATAAAGGAACATGAATATGTTGCTATACATACGATAGGACATGAATTTATGGGCAACAGTAGAAAATAACAGCATGAATTATTATGCTATGGTACAGCAGATGTACTAGCCTAAAGATATGTTAGGAAGGTAATCAGTATATTCAAAGGGTAGTGGGTTATTTAAGTATGCAAAACTTCATTCTTACTCGATGTCGTATTTGGTAGAGATTCTTTGTTAATATTTCCCGCATGTTTTCCATTTCAGTGGGAGAAAGCGGCTTTATTTTTCCTTCATGGTATTCACTGTGGAAGGATTAAAAGAAAAGGAAAATAGAGGGAAAAAAGAGAGAGGAAGACACTTTTTATTTTTATGACTGGGAATTATATTTGAACTATTTCCTTTGTTAGAGTCAGAAACAACATTTCAGAACATCTGAGGAACAGGTGAAAATAGAACATTTAGAAATGAAATCTTGATCTCATTTAAGTCAGCGGTAAGGCTCAAGACTCAGACTTCAAAATTTGATATAAATTACATTAAATTCTAAATTTGATTAAGTTACTTTTCAAAATTCCCCTCAGGCTTTCCCCGTAGCCATTCGCAGCAGATGGGAAGGCACTGATTCAATTCCAGCTCCCCTCTACATGGCAAATCAACATTCCCATGAGCCGCTGCCCTTGTAAAACTACACATTCTGGATGAGCACAGCTCAACCACCATTTCGTATGTGAGTTGCAGGCAAAAGGGTCATGTTTCATACCTGCTTACCCTTCAGGTGACATTTGGACACAAAATGCCCTGAATTAAAGTGATGGTCCTGCCTACAGACCGGGCTGTGACACAAATGATGTGACCCAGCCGAAACGCTTGGCCACGCTGGCATCGCTCGCTTACCTGAGAGACACTGAGGAGGGGACCTTGCTTATCATTCCACTCTCTGCCATCTCGATGGCGTGTTTGATTTCCAGCTTCTTGTATAAAGAAACAATGCTGGATTTGGGCTGGTTCTCTCGAATTAGAAGTCTTCGCAAGTATTTATTGTCAAACTTTTTAAACCTGTATGTGAGGCAAACCAACCCAACCAGTTAATTTTTACTGTGCATAATTAAGGAAAGCATGCTAACGCAAGTGTGAAGGAGTTTATACCCTGGGAATGTGTCTGTTCATATTAACAATCTACTTCTGAGTAACAAAAAAAGGTCAAGTTCATCTTCGCTTCATACGGACAGTCTTAACCTGTGTTTTAGTTAATACTTTAATGGGCAGTTTCTTTAGCAGCAACTTTTAATTTTCAGCTATTCTGTGTTATTAGACAATATTATTTTTAATCCTCCATTTTAACTGAGTCAAAGAGAACATTAAATATTTACTGTAAAAACAAATGAAAGGTCTAAATTTGCACCAACTGCTTTTTCTTTGAAATTTTAGCCTGCTCTTGTAAAACTTTTGAAGTTCTCCGCTCCTTTAAAGCAACTGCAACCCTCCTGGATGCTTAGTGAGAAAATATTGATTACAGCTGGGCTGATTTTGTTTGTCAGAAAATATTTTGCCCTCCAGCCTTTCTGAAATTATTCTTGAATTTGAGTCTGAAGGTCATGAAGAGGTGTGACTCTCCTTTGCTGTTAAACTGAAGATCTCACACAGACTGGAAGAGAACTAGGCTGAGTAAAGGATGTCGTGCTTCTGTCAGGAGAGTGTCCTCACTGTGTTTCCCTCAAGTCATTTGGAGAGGGTTCTTCTCAGCCCTTCCTTCTGGTGCCACTTCTCTTTCTATAAAACAGTTAAATTCTTGTTAGAGAGGCGACCAAAAGGTGGGTGAGCAATGACCACACTTCGGGTCTAAAGGATTTGGGTGTAAAAGAGTGTGCTTCTGAGAAGAAGGAGTTAAATCCAGACCAGTGATGATGATAATTCAGAAGCTAAACTGAAAACGTGAATTATTCAGGTATTTCCAGTGATAATCTTCTCAACTCACACTAAGTCTTAAATAATACCATCAAGAACTATGAAGCTGCCTGTCATTAGGATCTCTCATGTACCTCATGACAGCTAGTGCCTGTCTTTCCAAAGAAAGTCCCAAAGCTTTGTATGTTTCCCATCAAACACGGAACGAACCCTTCACTTACCGCAGAGACACAGAATTTGCAGGAGGAGAGTGGGATGGGGTGAAAGACTCAGCATAGAGGAAATGCTCTGAAACAGTCAGAAACAGAGAGAGGACACACATCCTCAAAAGGTACCATACTTTAGCCTGGGATCAGAGGGCTGCCTTTCTTCCCAGCTGGAGATTTTGTTCTACTTGCTTGTGGTTTAGTAAAAAGACATTGTTTTGCTGCTTCCCCTTTGTAAGCCACACATTCTAAAAACAACCATCTGCTTTCAAGAATAAAATGCTGAAAATGAAATATGATGTCCAACAGCCTTCACTTTCTGCTTTTGAGCCAGTTTAGCCTTTCCTGTATAACAAAGAGTTTTAAATGTCATTCTTACTTATCTCTCCAAAAGTTGTGACCCCAGTGTCCACACACATCTTCAATTCCAGTCTTCACATGGTCAAAGAACTAAAGGGGAAACATTGGTTCATTACACAAACTTATAGACATCACTTGGCTTGCCCCTAGGCATTATTAAAATAATAATAAATAATAATAATAATAAAAAAACTTAAAAACATCTACTCAGAATTCAGGATAATGCTTCAGTTTAACTAAAAGAAGTCAAACCAAACTCAGAGATGGACTTTGCTTTACTCTTCTGGAGCTTCCTGAGCTCAGAGCTCCAAAAGGACAGAAGTTAGTTGCTCATTTCCTCAATGCCAGTCTTTCTCAGCTCCTGCATGAATCTGAAGGTTTTTCCCATATTTTCACTTCTTCTAAGTTCCTGAACCACTCAGGACTATGCCTGGGATTTCTCTCAGGCTAGACAGTGAACCAGGTATGACTTTGGCGAGGAGGAAGAGGGCAGAAGCTTCCCACATCAGCATCAGCCCTTCAGGATGCACCAGGACAGAGCTGACATATCCAGCATCAGGACCTGAGCTCCTGTTTTAGGGAGTTGTGGATTAGCCTCACCTTAAAGCATCCTGATCACCTAGTATGAGAAACACTCTCTTTCTCAACTGTTACAAATTACCAAAAAATGAATCAGTTCAGCTAAGATCTCACTTGATACGCAGAGGCAACTCGTTTGCTCTTAATTCAAGTACCATAGTAGGGGTCTCTAAAACTCAGGGGAAGATCATGGTAGATATGACCAAAGAATAAACTCTAAAAGGACAGACTTGGGTGCCTAAATTGACTTCTTTGCTGAATGTGGCCTTTATTATACCTCATTTTTGGAATTTCAAACCACCTGCCATAGGTATGCTGCAAGGAGAAATACATTCAAGAATATGCACGGCTAATAAGCTGCAATAACAGGAGACATACATGTACCAAATACAAATCCACAAAGAGTTGTGAGAGACTAAACAAATGTCTCAAAACAGTCTTTTCTTGGTTTTCTTGGAACCTAAATGAGTTGAAGCTGCCTGCCTGGCACCTGTCAGGGTTTGTGCAGGGGTGTCTCAGCGCTTTGCTGAGCCCCATGCCCCAGCCCTGCACTGGTGGGGCTGTGGGGGTGGGTAGAGCTGGGTGCTGTGGCTGCAAGAAGCCGGGAGAAGGAGGGGTAAAACCCCCTCAGAAGCCCCCACCATCCTCCAACCTCATTCCCGGTCTGTGGTGGGAACTTGACTGTATAAAAGGCACTGACCCCGGGCAGTTGCGCACTTTTTCACCCACCACTCAGAGATGGCTGCGAGTGCTGTGGTCATCGCTGAATCCAAGGGTGGTGATCTTTCCTTTTCCTATCGCTTTCCTTCTCTCTCTTTCTAGCTTTAACAAAAGGCTAGCTATGGCAAGGCCAGTTTCTTTTGCTTGTTAATAACTCGTTGTTGTGAGGCGTGTCGATTGCGCTACGTGGACGATTGAAATGCATTGTTGTTAGATGATTGATAAAGAAAATTGCTGTTCGGATCCTTGGAGTAAGTCACCATAATCCTGGCCTGGGAATTGGGAACCTGAGTGAATCACGTCCTGAACCACAGGACGTGACAAGAGTTTCATGATGTGAGAGTTAAGTAAGATTAAGAGCGTATTTTGCAGGAGTTTGCATTTATTTAATGAGACTAGCTCAAATGCAATGTAATGTAATTAAATTGGCAAAGGTTTCCTAATGTAGCCAAGTTCTAAAATAACACTTATCTCATATGTGAAAGAAACGACAGAAAGTTAATTTACCTCAGGAGGTGAACAATTAATCAAATGAAGATTCTAAAATAATGATACATAATAATGTTAATATTGGTAGTTGCTAAAGGTTAAATTTAAACTTTACAGTTATTGTGCTTGTAACAACAATCAATAAGGAATCTAAAAGAGTATGTGTCTCTCTGTAACCCTGCATACTGAATCCCTGTTTTACTGAAAGCCATCAGGAATTGCATCTACACGAGATTTTCATCTATAACATTGAAGCGGCAACATACCCTGTTGTAGATTTCTTCACTGACAGCAGGCTGCTTTTTATTTGACCTTTTGACATCAAGAAACTCCACCAATGGGCGAATTGTTATTCCCTGTGAAGAAGAAAAAAAAAAAAGAGGCACATAGTTCTTCTTTGGGGTTTTTTGTTGGTTTTATTTTTTCCCCCATAAATACAAAGAAAAAACAAAGCCTTACAATCTTTCCCATCTCCATCAGAGCACTGAAAACAGCTGTGAATACCTTTTTACCACTGGATACCCTTTCACCTTCCTAACTCCAAAACCCTGCCTGGCACAATAATTATACCAGTGAACTGACTTTTGTGATGAGCAGATGTTGCACCTAGCTATGAAGTGTCAGCACACAGACTCCACTTAATGCAACAGCAGAAAGGAGGGGGCTCCCTGGAGCTAAAAGGTACAAGAGGAGCAACCTGATGAGCCCCATCAGAAATATGTCACTCACCCCAACCTTTTTTCACTTTCGTTATGTATTAGAAAAACCCTCACATGCTTTCTGAATTAATAACCAGATGCCCCACCATCCCAAAGCAAACATATATAGTCCTTCTTTTCAATGACTACTTCAAAACCAGGTACTCAGAGATATGTCAACAGTAGCACTACAGTTACTATTCAGGATCGTGACACTAAGACTTTTTGTAAATATGTGTCCTTGCCTGACTGTTCTCGAAGAAAGAACAAAAAGTTTTCATTATCCCAGGATGATATAAAGGTTTTGAACAACTATTTGTGGAAGAATTGACATAATTTGTTTATTTGTGTAGGCACACTGGAACAGGGGAGAGGAATGACTCTCTCGTGCTCTTGAGACCAGACCCTGCTATCCCAGGCAACCAGGTCACATATTTCTTTTAATAAACGAATCAAGCTTTATCTTAAAAGTAGTTAGGTTTCTTTGCCCCGTTGCTCATACTGGAACACTCATCCTGAACTTCATTGTTCTGATAATTAGAAAGCTGCTTCTTAATTGCATCATGGCCACTTTGTACCACTTTGTTCTTGTGCCAACATTGGTCTTTTTAGTTTAAATAGTGTCCCTCCTTCTCTGGTGTTCACTCCCTCATATAAACAGTAATTATATTCCCTTTTCTCCTTCATATTTGCTAAGGCCAAGGCATCCTGGTCTCCTTTCACATGACAGGCTTACCAGCCCCATGATCACTCTAGAACGTGACATTATTCTCTGATGCAAATACCTGTCTCAGTATGTCTTAAGATCAGATTTGCCTTTCTTCTGTTTTCACTGCATTGGTGGCTTAAACACTAAATCGTTATCAAACAGTACATCTGTGTAATTCTCCCTTTTCTATTTTTTTTCCAAACTCAAGGTTCTCATTTCATAAGAGAAATACCTAGTACGAAAGTTTGAGCAAGAACAAGGTTGCGCTTATTACTGTTAAATTTCATCCTGTTTCTATCATATTTGCCCTCAGTTACTCCTCTCCTTCTACATGATACACCATCTTGCCGTCACCCTAAGAACACCTTCCAAAACCTGTTATCAAGAAACATCAGCAATAAAACCCCCTACTGCTACACTTAACCCCTTACTGCTTAACCTCCTACTACTATACTTGATGTGTCATAGTCACTAACAAGTGTGTCATGGTCAAAACCAAGAATATTAAACAAAACCTTCCCCAGGAACAATCCTTGAGGAATTCCATTAATAACATCTTGGCAGCCTATTATCTTACCAGGGTGGTTGAATGCTGGAGCAGGTACCCAGGAAAGCTGGGGAATCTCCATCCATAGAGACATTCAGAACTCAGCTTGACATGGCCATGAACAACGTGATCTAGCTTTGAAGATGGCTTTGCTTTGGGCACAGGGTTGGACTAGAGACCTCCAGAGGTCCTTTCTCACCCCAAGGACCATATGCTTCTATTTCCCTTTAATAGGAGAAACTGTCAGCTCCTTCCTCATCCACTTTACTATCATGCTAATGTCAATCTAAATCTCAATTTAAAGAGTAGTTAAGACAACAATCTCTTATGTAGTTCCCTCCCCCAAAGAATTAACAATAGCCCAGTTAGATAAGATTACTCTAGAAAATAAATTTCCTTATCAAAGAATGATACCAGGTTTGCCTTTGGTAAACTATGTTGCATTTCATAACAAATTCCAATTCACCTCCATATTTTAAAATATTCTATCTTTCAAAACCAGTTTTCACAGCTTATATGCTAAGGCCAGCTAACTGACCTCCAGCTGCTCCAGCCAGCTTTTTCCCTTTCTCAAGCACACAAGCACAGATATTTGCTGCTTTCCATGGCACCTTTATCCCTCTAAAAGGCAGGCTAAAAATAATATGTATTTTTTCACACAGACCTGAAATTCCATGTAGCAGCCTCTCACATCTCTCTCACTGCTCTGGATAATGACTAGCCTGATATGCTTATTTTAGGGGCTTAGCCTCCTCTAAATTTTGCTGTTTTCAGTCACTTCCCTGTTTCTTGGACTCCCTTGATCAGGCCTCTATGGACATATTGACAAGAGAACCAAGTTCTTCACATTCTTCTGCACACCTCGTGCTTTGGGATGGATATCCAGCTAGTTTGCAGCATCACTGCCCTCAGTGCATTCCATCCCCTTACTACTGAGCGCTGTATCCTACACTGAACAACATGCACAACTTTAAATATTGTAACAAGGAATTAGTGCCAGGGCTGTACTCGGATTATCTTTTATCTCTATGCCAACCTCCCTAGGTCTTACATGCTTAATACTACTTATATGTTAGCATAAGTACTTAATATCTGGTATACTTTTGCGACCTGTCTGCGCTGCACATAGCTCCATTTTTATTTTTTTTTAATTATGACCATGGAAAGTACCTCAGGTATGTTCCTTCTAGTAAGTTAGGACATCTGTTTTTCTACCCACTGCTTATTTACAGCCCATCTGAGAAAGAAGTCCAGAAGAGGAAAGGCATTACCTGAATGAAAACGGTAAAGAATATCACCACAATAACAGCAGTGATGAACAATTTCTTCCTGGGAAACACAGCAGGAGGAAGCAGAAATACAAGTGAAAAACAAATAGCTCCTCGGAGGCCTCCATAGGCGATAATAAATTGGTCCTTAAAAGTGAGAGGAATTGTCCGGAACACATTAATGATCTGAGTCAGAACAAAAACACCTGAGGGAAAAAAACAACAGAAAGAGAGGGAGAGGGGAAAAAGGGAAATTAAATCCCCCACAATGCTAATACTTATTTTAAAACAGTTTTATTTCCTTCTTACCTATATATTATTGAAGAAATTAAATGTTACTTAGCAGCTTGAAAAAACAGAATAAAAACTTAAAATACCTAAGGAGCACCATCTAAACATACTTAGCATGGTAACCACCTCAGGTCAGCTGGATTTAGGACCTGAAGCACCTAATTGATCTCCACAAGACAGCTATCTGCTAGACTCTGCACCTCTAGCAATAATTCTCTGTCTCAGTATAGAGTAAGCCCTAATTACTTTTTTTAATAGGAGTTGAGGCACTTTTGAAAACTTTGGCTTGTCACCTCCATAAATCTGTGCTTTGAACCCCACAAACTTCTGTTCATTCAACTTCACTTGCCCAGAAGGAAGGACTCAGGCCTGGGGATGGCGGGAGAAGATGCCAGAGCATTCTTGTGTACCAAAGGCAAAGGCTTCAGGGATGTGACAGACTGAAGTAAAACTGAGGGGGAGTCTGGCTGCTTGGCTGCTTTTCAGCATAAGGTATTAATTGTGGGGTTGCAGGTGCAGGAGGGAAAAGGACCTGAGGGTTCTAATCGACAAGTGGCTGAACATGAGCCAGCAGTGTGCCCAGGTGGCCAAGAAAGCCAACGGCATCCTGGCCTGTATCAGAAATAGTGTGACCAGCAGGAGTAGGGAAGGGATTGTCCCCCTGTACTCAGCACTGGTGAGGCCACACCTTGAATTTTTTGTGCAGTTTTGGGCACCTCAATACAAGAGGGATGTCAAAGTGCTGGAGCGAGTGCAGAGGAGGACAACGAAGCTGGTGAAGTGCCTAGAAAATAAATCTTATGAAGAGCAACTGAAGGAGCTGGGGCTGTTTAGTTGGAAGAAGAGCAGGCTGAGGGGAGGTCTCATCACTCTCTACAACTACCTGAAAGGACATTGTAGAGAGGTTGGTGCTGGTCTCTTCTCACAGATGATTACTGATAGAACTAGAGGGAATGGCTTCAAACTACAACAGGGGAGATTTAGGCTGGATGTTAGGAAAAAAATTTTCACAGAAGTCAGGCACAGGAGTAGGCTGCCTAGGGAGGTGGTTGAGTCACCTTCCTGGGAAGTGTTTAAAGGTCATTTAGAAGTAGTGTTGAGGGATATGGTTTAGGTTTGGACTCTGCAGAGCAGGGTTATAGGTTGGACTTGATGATCCCAAGGGTCTTTTCCAACCTAAATATTTCTGTGTTTCTATGATAGTCCAGATTTCTCCACTGGAGGAAGACTTGAGAGCTGGAAGTAGAAGTGCAGCAACAGATCAGAGCTTGAGCTGCCTTTACACACGAAGGGATCAAATTATTGCACGTGAAACTGGGACAAGAGGCAGATTTAAGATCTATGAGCCTGACCTAAACTTAGGTCTCAAGGTAAAAGAAAAAGAGCTAGTACTGCAAACTCAGCATGGATCAAGCAGTTTCTTATAGGAAATTTTTTCTTCAAAATAAATAGCCGAACAACACTTCAACTACAGCATTTCCTGTTTTGATGTTATTTATGCCAATGACTGGGAAATTCCCAAAGCTAGTAAGCATAAATTTAAAAAATTTATTAAGATTTTTAATTGTCATACAACTGCTAATTCTTTTAAGCAAAGTTTTCTTACTTGTAGATAAATGTTTACGCAAATACATGTATTCTGATTAACAAGCAGACGGCCTCTAACTTTAGATGGGCAGGATCAGGACCAAACTTGATTTTGGGGTTCCATTTTGGGGGAAAGTGAAAGTTGATCCTGCAATCTAGGGCACATTACAAGTAAGAGGATCATTCAACAAGCTGATGGGACTCTGTCTAAATTTTGGCATTTTCTACTCAAGAAGGCGTAAAAAGTTTAAATTGCAAAGAATACTGACACATGGTCTGAGTGTCAGTGCTTACCCAGTGCCCTCCAGATTAAACAGAAAAGGAGGGTGAAGCTAACGAAGGCCCAGTTCCACTCATGGTTCTTCCCAACTGTAGACACTCCCATGAAGATGAAGATTAAGGTCTCACTGACACTGCTCAGCATCTTCATGAAATACTTTATTGTCGTATAGGATTTTTGAGAAACATTTTCCTCCACATATTTATTCATGGTCATGGCACAAGCTGTAATCCTGAAAGGCAAACATTATCCAGTATTTCATCAGCTTGATTTTTTTTTAGCCTCTCTCATTTCTACAGAATATTATTCACTTTTCCATAGTTCTCTTTAAAAATACAAAGTATAACTTATTCCATAATTAATCTCAAATGTATAGACTTGGTGAACCTACAGTTTGGGGCATAAGACTTTTTTTTTCCTGCAGTAGGGAGTTTGAGAAGATACCAATATATGGAGAGTTTTGTTATATACTAAATCCACATGATCCATGCACAAGCCATACAAACTCTATGTTTTGAAAGAGACAGAGCTGAGAAGAGCCAGGGGCAGCCCTGAAAAACAGGGGTTGCTTTTTCAATTGCTGCTAGGGAATATCAGACAGGATAGAAATTGCATGTCCTGGGGCAAGGCTTCCCTCCCTTCCCACCAGCAGTTGTTGCACCAAACCATTCCCCTCCTCCACGGCAGTGACAGTAGCCAGCTCCTCTTTCCAGTCGAAGTAAGCAGCAAGGCCTCAGACAATTTGTCATCCTCCATCACTTTGGGCCACCCCTTGCTTTGCCTGTGCAAAGGGCTGGATAGGAGAAAAACACCACCAGAAATCACACTGGTGACATATTGCACACTTAAAGCACCTACAAATGAATTAAATGGGCATCTCGGCTGATACGTGAGAGCACAGACAGGGCTTACTGTAAGTATGCCTATGTGTCTCTGCTCTGAGCCTGCTAATAAACAGAGTTTCTTAGCAGGAAGAACAAAGAATGGCTGTACATCACTCAGTATGGTTGTCCATAGTGCAGGGATAGCTGAGGACCACTCAGCTACAAAGTTTACAGGTTTTAAGATAGATATCAGAGCTGGCTGGAGGGTAACCTCAAGGTGGTGCCTCAGTGTAGCAAAGCACAGCCCGAATTGACTAATAATTACCAGAGTGGGCAACTAAGGCAAGATGCATTGTGAAATAGCTGTCGCTCCTGCTTCTGTTACCTAGGGCAAATGCACATCTCCTCTGATTATCCAATAAAAAAACATTATACACACACATATATGGATTCTCAGTTAAACCATGCACACTAAACCTAAAGAGAGACATGTATTTATGTTGTATCCTTGAATGCAGCCCATGAGGACTTGTCCTGTAGTTACTTATGCCAGTTCCACCGGGTTTTCAGTTTATAATTATTTACCAGCATAGCAGATATTTCTTCCTACTGAAATCTCCACAGTTCTCTCTCTCATGGAAGGAACAGAATCATAGAATCATAGAATGTGTTGGTAGGTTCGCCAGTAAATCTTTGGAAAAAGATGAAGAAGACTCTCCCACATCTCATGGAGACCACACTGCAAAAGTCTTCTGCTGAGCATGTCCTGCCTCTAAGCCCCATCTCTGAACAACTCAGATTTCCCTGAATGAGTGCAAATGGAAAGGTGGACTGAGGGAGAGCTCACAAAAAGCTCACTGACATTACATACACACACATGTCTAGGTTCTGTCTATGAAAAGAATGGATTAAAACCCAGTATTTTTTTGCAGAGCAGAAAGAGGAATCCCAAAAGCAGCAGTAACTTCGAAAGGACCCTCTCATAATAAACTTTCTTAGCATTTTGCATGGCCTGTTCTGAAGGACAATAGCCAAGATCTGAAACATAGCAGTAGGTCTCTGACCCTACCAGCAAATCTACATCCCCAAGGTGACAGGGCAGCATTAATTCTGAGGGATGAAGGACATATGGACACTGGGAGAGGACACAGTGTAATTCTCTGTCAAACAGCAGAGCCCCTGCAGGCACATCACATAGTGGCTTACAAGTACAGGTGGAGAGAGTTTACTAGCATGAGAGTGCACATAACCTGGCTTTCAACCTGCATTTTCATCCATCTATGCTTGGTGATAGAAAGGCAGAAAATAAAATGGCCATTACTACGCAACAATTAACTCCAACCCTAACCCAACTCCCAAGATTAAGAAGACTAAGAAAGGAAGCTGGAAGAGGGTAGGTTTAGACTAGATAAAAGGACAAAGTTCTTTCCCTTGAGGGTGGCAAGGCACTGCAACAGGTTGCCCAGGGAAGTTGTGGATGATCTGTCCCTGGAAGTGTTCACGCCGTGTTGGATGGAGCCCTGAGCAATGTGATCTAGTGGGAGACGTCCCTGCCACAGCAGGGGGGTCAGAACTAAATGACCCTTGAGGTGCCTTCCAACCCAAATCATTCTATGATCCTATGATTCTATGACTAAAACTATCCTAGATCCCCATTTGCACTCAGTACTGACGTAATTGTCAGTACTTTCTCCTCATTGTCAGCTGATTTCACCATGGTCTTGAACAGAATGATCCCCTGTGTCCGAAAAGTGGCACGGTATCTGAGAAACAGAGCTCATCATAGTTGCCTAACATCCACTATGGAAGAAATTATGCAGATTTTACAAGCATGCAAGCTTCTTCCCTGCAACACTCAGTGGTTCAGGTAGCATTTCTCCTTTGAGCATGTGGTTAGGACAACACAGGTCCTGCATTTTTGCCAATACTGACAGATAGCCAATGCTCTTCACAGCTCTCCTCCTGGTTCTGATCTTACAGTTGCCGAGACTGGGGACTTGTCACAGATCCCACAAACATATGTGCCTGCATATCTTGGGAAGAAAGTGGGAGATGACCTGGGCCATGCAGGGATTTTGTCCTGACGAGGAGTGATGGCCTGGCTAGGACATACACCCAAGTGCAGAAGCTGTCATACACTGCCAGGTTCTTCAGTTTGCAAACAGCTCTGGCAACCAACCTCAAAAGTGTATGTGAAGAAGGGTCTCAAATATACTTAATGCTTTCACCCTCCAGAACTGTCACATTCAGTGGAAAACCAGCTCTTTACAAGCCGCAGGCTGCACGGACAGACCTGCAAGTATCTCAGGTTATATCACGGGTCGTGACAGCTCTCCTGTGCACACATTGCTTATCTGCACAAGTCCAGTGCATCCCAGCTACCTCCAGCCGACTGCACACACAGTGGAGCTGGCAAGTGCAGCGACAGCAAATGAAATGCAGCAAGAACACACGTGGACAGGCTGCAAAACAGTCATTTCCACACCTGTGGTTGTTTCAAGGTTTTAAAGCTGCAGCTTACTGCCTGAAGCATTAGGACTGTCAGGTCTGCACTCAAGACACAATAAAACACTCAGTACTATTTATTACCTCTTGAAATAAGTAGTTTTCATTATTATAGTCATTTAGGAAAGCCCTGCAGCCTGGGCAGTGGGGAAGCTTCTCTGGAAACGGTTTGTATTTGGATACTGAGGTAATGGAGACACTGTAAATAGATGTCTGATAAGAATCTGTCACCAGATTAATCAGGATCTTTGCAAGCTGTAACTTAAAACGCCTACCACACTTAACCATTAGCATTTAAAGGAACGATACTCTTATAATATTACTTTCTTAATATATTATTTTTGGTCACATTTTGCAATCATTCCATTAGTGTCAACTAACTGATGAGTTGGTTCACCAGTATAACAAATGGTGCTGTATATTTTTTGTTATTCTTCACGTAAGTAATATTCCACAGCTGATCACTGCTTACTTTATGAATCTGAGATCTCTTCAGAGTATTTATTTACTTTAGGAAAAAACTTGTTGAAGTCTCTTTAATTTGAACATCATATGGCAATATAGTGTTAGAATTTAATATAAAATGAGTTTCTTTAAATATGCAAGATTTTATGTACATTATTCTATTATGCTCCTTCCAAATTAACAATCAAAGCAGAAGCTTAGATGTGAATTATTTTACATTCCTTATCCACATATATTAATTCTGACTTCCATTTCTGTGGCCTGAGGTAGTTGCCTTGGTCAAGAAGGGGAGGAAAAAAATAGTTAATTGCAATTAACCTGCAGCCTTCTGTGCTCCTGAAGAATAAAAGTCCTCCTGTACAAACAGTACAGTTTCTGTCATGACTGCAATAAACTAGGCCACTGGGTTCAATCCTCAAGTTTCCTTGACCTACTAAACTTACAGTAGTTTCAATGTTTGTTCCTTTCAGCCTGCTAAGTCACTGTTGCAAAAAAAAGGAAACAAAAATTAATAGTTCTGCTTTACAGCCTTTATGAGAAATTAGTAAGCAGAAAATGCAGCATTATAATTAGAAATCAAACCAAGCAAATAAAGCTCAGGTTCACATCTTTAAGTTTTACACCTGTGAACCTGATTCAAGACCGGCTCTAATTACAAGAGAAGGTCTTTCCTTCTGAAGAGGACTTTCCCACTGCAGCTCACAGGGACATGGTTCAGTTCCTTTGCTATTTCAGACAGCCTGGTGCAGGGGTTATACACGAATGTGTTTGTCCTCAGAATAAGTACACAGACTTAAAAGAAGAGAGACAAGCACCTTTCATTCCCCTTTATTCCTCTGCCAGTGAAATCCTGCTTGTGCAGAAATGAGGCACTTTGTGTACATAACTTATTTATTTGAGAATACTGTATGTTCCTGCTCATGTCCTCCCCCTAAAGCATGGTACAGCATGTAAACACAGGGGCTTGCTGAGTATCTTTATGAATCTGGTTATGAAGGAAGTGGGAGCAGGTAGTTTAACACACTCAAGCGGATATGAATGAAAAAGGTGAGATCAGGCAATTACTCCCTATAGGCTGAACTATAAATGGCCACGGAAGCATAAAATGAATAAACAATCCGTGTTGTATGGGGCACTCCAAGGTCATTTGGTCCAACTACATGCTCAAAGGAGGGCTGACTTTGAAGTCAGACCCAAGCAATCCTGCCATGAGTCACTCGCTGCAGAAAACGACAGTGAACTCAACACCCGTGCATGTTGCGCTGTGACAGAGCAAAATAGTCTCTTCAGTTCAAAGCCCAATGAAATGCAAAAAGCATAGGGCAGACCTACTCCAAGAGGATGCAGAGATTACAGGGGCTCTGAGGCCCTCAGCGGTGCTGCTGGGAGGGGGCACACTTTACGTAGCATGACAGCTGAGGCACTACATGGCTGCAGAGAGCCCCTCCAGCTTCCCCTGGGCGTTACCAATGTATTCAGCTCTGTTAGCTATTACAAATCAGGTTTAGAGTCATAAAACATCCAGGGCACTTTAAAGATAACTTTGTTTTCTATTGTGCCGCTGGATGGAAAAAAAATACTTTGTTTCTCCTCTTCTGTTTAGCCCTCCCTCAGGGCCCACTACCACAAAGGAACGGGTTGTTAGTGCCGTGGGAAGCACTAGTGTGCTAGTGGCAGTGGTGGGTCTGCTGCCCCCCACCAGCAGACCCGCCGTGCCCTTTCCATTCCATCCTGGGTGCAGCATGTCCAAATCAGTATTTTCATGCGCACTGCCAGATTTTTTTCTATGTGCAGTTTAGCCACAAATTTTTGGTTTAGAAGCCCTTTAAGTATTTGATCACAGGGTATCAAGGGCATTTGACTTAAGAAGTGGAGGAAACTAGAAACCACACTAATGCTATGAATAGAAGCTATTTAGATGGCACATTTATGAACTCGGTCAAAGTAGATGCATATGTTACTTTATTTAGGCTCATATCAGAGAAAGAAACCCACACAATCTTTAGCTCCTTACTTAAACTAAAGTACTAACCTCTCCCATTTCAAGGCATATTTCTAATTTCACTCTACTGAAATCATCAGCTGTAGGTTTCCAAGTAAATTGCTTTCCAGACCCAGAAAACTTTACGCTCACGTGACTATGATATCAAACCTATCTTCACTTTCCTTAAAGACAATCAGCAGATGTGATATTATAAAGTATTAGTGATACTTAGAAGTAACATCTGAGCTTCCATAAAAAGCTACAGCCCCAATGCCTGAATGACTCAGATTTACCACTAGAACAATACAAAGTCATTAAAGAAGGCCAGCCTTTAAAAATATTACTTGGAACCAGAGCAAACCATTTAAATATATCAAATGTCCTAAAGGTTCTTTCTAAAGTTGAGGTTGTTACAGTATAAACAGCATCAAGCGAGAGGCAGTGCTCTCTCCTTACTGAAGCCCAGGAGTGAAAAACCAGGAACAAAAATATTTTTATCTGTTGGAAGTGGGAAGAATAATATTATTTTGTACATAATGATGCATACAGAGAGCACTGTAACACACAGGCACACGTATCAAGATACTAAACTAAAGAGTTATATCACCGTAGGACTATATTCTGCAAATTTTACATTCACCAAATCCTCACTGTGCTTGTAATCCAGCAGGAGTTTGCCTTAATGACATATACATTGTCTTCACTGAATGGCATTTACTGGCTTCTCACATGACTAAGTGTAAGATGCAGTTTCACAGTATGTTGGCATCGAAAGTGAAGCCAGTTCACAAAGTTCCCAGCTACCACTCCCACTCCCTCCCAGCCACCTCCCACTGCCCCTACATCGTTGCGGGCCACCCCTCAGCCGTGCCCTTATGACTAGTTGTAGGGTCACATGAGGACACGGGTCACCAAACTGACCTGGGTTAAAAATAACCCCGCTGAAAAATACAAGGGATTATTTTTAACTTGGAACATGGATGCCGTGAACGGTTTTAGTGACACAGCTGGTGTGGTGGCAAGCCGAGAGAATGGGATGGAAGCAGGAGGGGAGTGGCCGGAAATCCTCAGGCCAGCATCGCTGCCATGCACAGTGGAATGATGCCATATGGCAAAGTTTGCAAAATCCGTTCCTCTCTGCAATTCCTTCGGCATTCTTACTTGGGTGCTATTTTTACTGAAGTTTGGGGTACTTACGCCATGATGCCTGAGAGATGAAACATTTCAGCTGTTATGTATGACAAGTAACTGTACAGGAAGACAAAGAGTGGCTCAATCACTCGGATTTTATGGGTGAAACGGGTGGTAAAGGCCGCTACAAATCCCAAAAGGATTCCAATCAATACTCCACCGATCCCCACTATAAAGAAGTTAGCAATCCCAGCGAATATGTCAATAACCTTAATTGTGCGCATCTGGCAGAAAGACTTGAACAAATTGTACAGGACCTATGAGAAAAAGAAAGCAGATTATGTTTCTGAACTCTTCTTAATTTACTTTCATGACATTATGTTCCTCTGCTTCAACACTGAACTTTGAATTTCTCTATCTACCTTGAACTCACTTTTGAGATACACCGTTGTTTACTTCTGGCATATTACTTGTGATCCATAAATATCAGGGAGATACACAAAGTAGGGTAAATATCATTATTCCCATTTTTGCAAATGGAACAGGTTTATTAAGCCATGCCATTCTGCAGGCCAGGAGCATAGATCTATCTTACCTTTCTTTAAATTCATTTAGTTGCAAAGGTTCTAATTTGTCCACAAATGGCCAGTTTAGATTCTCCCCAGAATCAAAGAAATAAAAAAGGAGAAGGAAAAAAAATACAGTTGAAAATTCAGGTTATTTTCAAATGTGTTTGATTTACATAAGTACCGGGAGCTGAAGTACTGAATTAGACCATAGATTCAACTGGCACGGAGTGGGGAGGGCCAAAAGGGCATGGACAGCGACCACTGCCAAGTAGTAGAAGAAACATAGCCTGACTCATCATCTTGGACAGCCTGCTGGAGTTAAATCTTTGCTTTTTTTCCTGGACTCCTTAGTAAACCAAACAGGCTTCTCTATTAGAAATGCTACTTGAGAAAATAGTGTGTTATCGGTACTTGCATTGTGCCAACAATGTAGGTGTTTGAATAGTGACTGGGAGGGATGTGTCATATTTGCAGTCTTGTTCCATCTCACATGACAGAAAGTAAGTTGTTCAGCTCTTCTTGGCCAAAATTTGATAGGCCTTATAGAGGTAAAAGTTTTCACTATAGACTAATATAAAGACATTGCCTATTATGGGTCCTTTGGAGTAAGAGAAATGGAAGAACTGAAAAAGCAAAGAAAAAACATATTCCAGAGCAAGCATGACAAAAGAAGGTTAAATCAAACCTAGCACGGTCACCATTAATTTTCATTACAAAGCAACAAAGAGGACAAGAGCAGAAGCAGAAGCTATTTCTCTGGTAACAATCACAGAATCACAGAACCACAGAATTGTCTAGATTGGAAAAGACCTTTAAGATCATCAAGTCCAATCATTAACCTCGACTTAACCATACCCCTAAGCACTATGTCTACCCGACTCTTAAATACCTCTAGGGACAGGCATTCTACCACTGACTTAGGCAACCCGTTCCAATGCTTGATAACCCTTTCAGTAAAGAACCTCTTCCTAATATCCAATCTAATCTTCCCTTGGAGCAACCTGAGGCCATCTCCTCTTGTCCTATCACTTGTTACTTGGTTGACTAACAACACCTTCAGGATGAGTTCACCTGGAAGAAGTGTCCTAGACATGTCCCTTCATCTTGCTGAGAAAGACTTTTTGCTCTATTACTATGTCCTGTGCAGGACAGGAAAGTAATGTCATAGGCTTCACTAGTTTTCTACCCATTTTGATTTGCATTTTGGACCTTATGGATTTGCATAAAGAGAAGCATACCAGAATTAAGCCTATTGAAAAAAGGTGTGCCTTTGTTAGTCACTTTATAAAGGGCTCTTGGTTCATGGCCTCACAGGACTCCCTGAATCACAGACCGAAGAAAAATACCGTTGGACAGTATTTTGTAACAGAGAACTACTGAAAGGAGTTTCCCAGGATCACTTGCTGAAACTCAGGACTATCCCAGAGTTGTGTTATTCTTCAAGACATCTATAGAATTTGACCTGGCAATTTGTACATATTAGGAAAGATAAGTCTCTTCAACTGGAGTTTTAAATAGCCTATTTCATATTTTAAAAAGTAACTATGTGAATATATAAGGCAAGTCTCCAAAGTAAGGCCACTAAGAGCTGCTTGTAAAGAAGCACATAATTTTGATCTACTCGGGTAATATCCTTTCCATACCATCACCTCACCCTCGCAGTGAAGCATTCACACCACAAACAGAACGGAGCCTGTTGTTTCCACATACAGACATCCCCATAAATCTCAAGTCTGTTGCCGTAAATTATCTGAAAGAAGAAAAGCAATGTCCTCCTTTGTACCTCGGATCAAAACCAGACCGACATGGTAGAAGCAGCAGGCAGGACTAAGGAATGTCATGAACAGGATTTTAATCTCATTCTTATTGTTCTTTATTTACACTGCTGTAAGTGAGATCAAAATCAGGTTCACCTCTCTTTTACTCTACAGTAGTTCAGTTTTACAGCTCTCTCTACACTTTCAGGAGAGTTAAACATCATCATCTCTGGTCACATTTTGTAATGCATTTGATATAAGAACGCATATTGGGTTCTTTTTCCAAGTTCAACATTTGTATTTACTCAACATCCTTCAGCTGAACTTGCTGAAGTTTACACCAAGGAATATTAGTCACCAATCACTTTTTAATCTTGTTTCAGAGGATCTCCGTTCTTCCCAGACACTAATTGCCTGTTTTCATTAGTTCTCAGTTATTAGTTTTTAATTCTGAAATTACTTTTAAGCACTTTAAAATAGTGTTTTCAGCAGAGGCAGAACACAGAGCACTGCTGTAATGTTTTCTAACATGAGAATAATATTATTGTAATGACACTGGCTCCTTCTTTGTGATTTTAACTGCTAACACTCAACTTGAGCTGTGAGTTTGCCATTTAATATCACTGTGCTAGTTACCGCTGACCCCGTCTTTCAGCAAAGCACTAACTCTGAACACTAAGCTAGCTGGTAAACATTGTCCTCAGCCAAATTCACACTCCAAAATTCTATTAGTGAGATTAAGGGATCACCCAAATGCACAGGCATGTTCCAAAAAATATCAAGCATGAGACCATTTGAGAAATGCAGCAGAGCTGAGATACCTGAGAAAGCACACCTTGCTTTGTATCTGAAATGAAGGTGTGGTAGCACGCTTTCCCGAAGGAGAAAGCATGGATTACTCTGCTATCCTAATAAAAGCTTTTATTAGGAGCAGCTCGGCAGAATCACAGAATCACAGAATGTTAGGGGTTGGAAGGGACCTCTGAAGATCATCTAGTCCAACGTTCATCCCAGCATACCTAACCACAAGCAGAGCAAGAGGAATAGCAGGAAGAAAGTCTTAGAGTATTTAGAAATTATGTTTACTAAAGCCACGCTGTTCTGCATTGCCCACCTGAGTAGCCCCTGGGTTTTTTGACATTGCAGTAGCTGTAGGAATTAGGCAACTTCCATGGACGGCCAGCCTGCGTTCAACTCCCCTCCTGCTTCATCCCCACATCCCACCAGAGGCATCTTCCAGGTAGGTGGGTCTCAAGGGCTCCAGCAGACGAGAGCTGGAAGGTGCTGAGCTCTGCTGAGCTCTGGTTATATCAGCTCTTCCGGTAACACATCAAGGGCAGAGGAAGAGGTAGTATTTACAAACCACAGTCTCCTTTAAGTTTCTGCGCAACCCCAGCGGTACCACAGCCAGGACTCGTCCAGCAGCGCTGCTATGGGCAGGGGAGATGAGGTCCTCTAAGGACACCCCTCGGGGGATCTGCGTGAGAGCCTAAGTCACATTTTAAGTATAATCACCTGACTGCAGGTGTGCAAAATCATAACACAGAACCATTAGTAGACCAATACTTAGCATGCGGAAAACACTTGATTTCCTGCCAAGTGCTACCCTTAAGCGATAGCTGGGAAGGAAAATCGAAGGTACTCTAAATTCCTTTCACTCCTTCATGAATCTATGTATGGCCAGTGCGTTACCAGGCTGGCCGTACAGATGCCTCAGAGTATCTCACCTGTGTTAGGGAATTTTGGGAGGCATGCCCTGAGAAAGCACTACCTCCAAAGAAAGCAATAATGATGTCTGCAGGAAAGCCATGCATCATGGCTATTAAATTGCCTTGCCAGCCCCTATAAAAATGGTGTTCTGGGAGTAATTTGCCATTGGGCAATGGCACGCATGAATACTTCCATCATCAGGATACAGTGTTTTCCTAGCAAAACTTGCTGGATTAACTGTTGCTCCAGTGGAAAGGTGATTGATTTTGTGAATGGAAAAAGTGATTGTCGTTGGAAATATTCACAAAAAAATATATATTTTACATTAACATAAAACCAGACTTTTTTCCCCCAGCAAAACTTTCACAAAAATAATTACACCCGATGAATGGCCATTAAGAGTGAATATAGACAGATATAGCCATGGTTGAACTGCTAAGCCTTGTGAAATTCAGTATTTATACTGATTTTATGCCCACTTATTTTCAGAACTGGCTTAAGTACCAGTTTAGTAATGGCAGGCAGCTTCAGCTGTAAGCCAATGAGAAAAGCTAGGCTTTAAGGCAAGCCCATAAAGGAGGATGTGATTTAGCTGCCTGGATAGCAACAGAATTAGGCAAAGCATGAAGCATAAGTGTAAGAAAACCACAGTACTCCCACGGATAAACAAGAAATTATCAGTGCCAAGGCTTAGATTCTATGACAAGCTAAACATGTGTTAAGCAGGTGAGGTAAAGTCCGAGAAAAGGGGAAAACTAGAGGGCAATTATGCATAGAATGGGACAGGAATAAGAAGCCAGTGACAGAGACAGGGAAGGTGTGGACCCAGTTTATTAAACTTTTTGATCCTTTTGGCATGTGAAAAACTGGACCTCCACGTCTCACAAAACAGAAGGCATGCCAGGACATAGCTGGCATGGGCAGGATTTCAAGTAAGGTATGGATAAATGGGAGTAATGTCCCAGACATGGTGTCATCAGGTACAAACGAGGGCCATTGGGGGTGTTAATGGAATTTGCAGATTGCTGTCCTCAGGTCAGTGCCACAAATCCAATTCAGCTAGTTAATGATTAGAAATTACTGCCTCCAGATAGCTGTCCTATCTCATCTGTAGCCTGGGAGAAATGTCTTGGTGGTCTCAGGGCAATTCCAACAGGAGGGACACATGCAGAAGGTGAGTATCAACCGGGTCCTGTGCCATCTCAATGACTTGACCATCCTCCCTGCCAACATGCTGCAAACACGCCACGTTGGTCCTTCTCCCTCCCCTGTCCAACAGCATTTCTGCAGGTGTAGAGAACCTCCAGTTTCAGATTACAGAAGTAACAGAATTCAAATACACAGAAACTAAAGAGATCAGGTAGTAAAATCCCTAGAGCAAATATGCTACCACTACACATTACTCCGGTGTAGTAAGACTACTGTAGTTTCTAAATCTGAAGTTTAGAGAATTACACAAACACATTAGCACTCCTTGACTTCCATCAATTAGCAAAATGTCATACCCAGACACAAAGAGACATAATGGAGTGGCATGCAAACAATCATTCATCGTTTTTATCAGCTAATCATTTATCAAGCAACTTACCACAGTTATAGCATCATTCAGCAAAGACTCTCCAAACACCAGGATGTAAAGTTGCTCATTGACATGAATATTTTCAAAAACGGCTAATACCGCCACAGGATCCACAGCTGAAATGAGGCTGCCAAAGAGCAAATTCTGCAGCAATGTGATATCAGTCAAACCAAATGCACTGATCTGGCAAATTCCATAAAGGGAAATCCCAATGCCGATGGCATTCCAGAGTGTGCCCACCACAGCATACCAGAATATGGTACCAAAGTTCTCAAAGAAAAGACGAGTTGGCATAAAATATCCAGCATCAAGTACAATGGGTGGTAAAAGATACAAGAAAAAAACATCACTGTTCATTACAGGTGGGGACTTCTCCTCTGCTCCAAAAATAATCCCACCAAGAAGCAATCCAACCAGAATGAGGAGACAGCTTTCAGGTACTATTGAGGGCAACTTGTGATAGAGGTGAAAGCCTTCAAAGGAAATTCAAACACAAGAAAGTAAAATAGTTATTTGTACAGGATCCAAAGGATTATTTTGTATTCTGTTATCCTAATTTCTATAGTAAACAAACAGCAATCACAAAGCAATTTCATTTCCATTGCAAAGACTGAACTCGACCACCACAACATGTCAAGGCAAATCTGTCAGCTAGGGTAGTTAATTCAGTTGTTTTAGTGGAAAAACAATTTAATAGCTAGATGTTTCAGTTAATAGTAAGGCTGGCTGGAGAAACTGTGTGCAAGCATTCTGTTTGTGAAAGTTTGGGGGGTTTTGTGACGTGGAATACTTCATAAACACAATTCAAACACTTTTCTAGTGCAAATTACATCTAGGTAAAGCAAATAACAACATACTAACCACCCCTTCCTCCATGCACAGCTTCACAAAGGAGTTTAAGGAGTACATTCATTTCATTTTTAGAAGTCTTTTAGAGGCTCAAAGATAGGGAGGGGAACTAGTACATGTGACCTGCACCCAGTAACCCATGGTCACTTCTGCAGCCACCATGAGAAAGCATTTACATACACAACTATTTTTTTAAATTTAGCAGAGCCTCCAACTGAGTATCACAAGAAGCAACATGTTTTCCATAAAGTGAAAATAAGTTGTAGTCTGTATTATTATGCTTGCTCTTCTGCATTATATAAAATGTGGTAGTGTCAGGAGTCTCTCATAAAAATCTGTGCAAAGTACTTCAAAAATGAATTTTATAAAAGGTTCTGAATGAGGACTTACTGGATGAATGCTCCTTAGCCTACTAAAACTCTCAAAGCCATGCAGTCTTGATTTAGAAGCTAGCTGTTGGAAGGATAATTTTGGTAATGAATGGAAAAAGTTTTGAAGGAACTTACTCCGGCCAATCTAATGGAATGATCAACCTTTATGTACCAAGGTCACATTCCAGGTCCCAGTGATGCCAATCTTTTCTAGGCTCCTCCTTATCTATATTTGGCCTACATAATTATATAGAAAACTATCCACACCCACAAGATCCCACAATTCCTGCCTAACTAAAAAGCATTTAAATTATTTTAAATGAGAGCTGCACAGAAACACTGGGTGTGGTAATAACGGGCGTCTATTTCAGTAAAACTATTTCAGTACAAATCACACCTGTAGTCAAAACAGTTAAACTAGTGCAAGCTTGGTAGAGCTCATATCCAGCTTCCTAGTCTCAGGCTTTTCTATCTTGTAACACCTATTTGGTTAATTCTCCTTTCATCATGATTTTTTTCCAGGTAAAAAAAAAGCCTGAACTTACAAGTAAGAAAAACAAATGGTTAAGAATGACCAAGGGGAAAGCTGTTTAATTCTACAGATATTTTACTTACTAATTTTATAACTATTAAAGCTTTTTTTTTTTTTAATCTAGCATCTCAGGTTGCATGTTTTTCCTTTCCGGATGAATACAGACTGCTTTCTAATATTTAGAAACACAGCCTATATGACCTCCTTAAGAGGACTGCCAAATTCACTGTCATTCTTCGAAACTGGAATCACCTATATGGGCAGAACAGGTAACGACCCTGGAAACAAGAATTCGTGGTTGGAGACTTGATTCTTTGCCTTTCAACCACTTCCAAACAAACATTTTATGGTTTGTCTTGTTTCTACAGTGGCAGGATGTCAAAATTTTCAGTATAGTGACTGAAGTCTCCCCTGAGTAAGTAGTTTTGCTAAAAGTTTAAGACCTTCAAAAGTATCTTAAATCATTTTCTCAATAAAAACTGAAGAGGATGGAATTTTTGTAAATGTAGCTTTTAATGAAAACAAAAAACATCCCCACCAGCTCTAATACAAAGACAATAAAATACTTGTTGTGAATATAAAAACAAAAATATTTTTCTTTTCTTCTTTATAAGCCACTCTTTGGTAAGTCCATAGTCTCTCCAAGCTTTTGGGATTCCACCTCATCCTCAAAGGTAATAGAAAGTGCTTTTTATCCATGCAAACAGCATCAAAACTCCTGAAAGACGAGATGCCTGCATGTAAAGCATTCAGAGGTGATTTGGGACAGGCTGCAGTTCCCCATTTAAGGGCAGAGGGGTAGGATTTAGGATCCAGTGCATATCAAGTCAGGCACTGGTGCCCTGTGGCATGAAGGATATCTTCCCTGCTCTGACGGATCCACAGCCACATGGGCAGAAGTGCCCTGGGAGCAGACTCCCTGCAGCACATGAATACTCAAGATTTCTATGCTGATCTCAGGACCACAGCTACTTCCTCTGCCTCTGACTCTGTTCTCGGGTGTCTGACTACGGAGCTTCCAACTTCAGTAGCATGGAAGATGTTTACCCTCAGGCCACTGGGTATTAGGGCACTTGCCTAAAGTGCAAGCTTAGTATTCTTCATCCTAAAAGTCCTTAGAGTCCTGGTTACCTACTTCTTGGGTGAAATCCAGTGCACTTTGATGCTGCGAACACCACTGAGACTATACTTCTGATCATATGTGAGCTTGCAAGGGCCCTCTGAACAGCTTAAACCTTTTTTCAGGAGAAGTGCTGGAAAGATATCAGCTCAGTTCCCATAAGAAGCACTTCTAATCATGAATTTGTGATTAAATGTAGGAGTAATGGAAATCTGGATCAGTTAGAGAACATTTTGTAAGTTTAATAGCATAAGAATTAAGCACAACCGGGAGGTTAGTAGACTAGTCTCAATGCCTGGAGACTGCAGCACACTTCTGGTGCACTGGGTCCTACCTATTATACCCATGGAACCCATCCGCATAATACTAATATACCTCGTATGTGGTATCATCACACAAGACAATAAATAAGTAGAAGTAGCCAGAAAAGTAACAATTACGTTCAAGGCAATTTCTTAGATTTTAAAATGTGCCCTTGCTCTATGCTGGCATAAAAAGCACTATGTTTCTAACGTCTTTGCGAAAATGTACTGTGTCGAAATGATCATGTCCTGTTTGACAATTTCAGATCTTCCTTTCTTATGCTGTCTCTAAACCTAGCCTACAATTACATGATCTCAGACAGGATCGAGAAACCTTCCAGATAAACCCCCTACAAAAATTAGCAAATGCTGGAACATTTCAGCTCCAGTGAAAATGGACTTCTGCAAAAGCACATTTGTTCACAAAGGCTCCAGCCCAGTGATAAGAAGGGGCTGCAACAGAGGTCTTTTGGGGGATCCTTCACACACTGTTAATAGCTGTTATTAAATGTGACCCTAGCTTCTGAGCACCTTGCAGCTGAAAAGGGCTCCGTTCATAAAGGTTTGCCACTCGGCAGTGCCAAGCGTAAGCCTTCGGTGCCTATCCCCAGAAAGGAATTTGTGATGCCAGATTAAGCAGCGAAGTTTCCTGGGCAGTGCATGAGTCTCAAGGTGGCTTTCATGCTGCCTGGCATGGCAGGGGTGAGATGCCTAAGCTACCCGGGAGGAAATGCCGAGGAGAGGAATGCACTGGAGAGCCTCCTCTCTCACAAGGCTGTTCTCGGGGCTACAGTGAGATGGGCTGGAAAACTCCTCTCCATCCCTCTGAGCTGAGAGACACGTTGCCCACTCTTAGTAACACAGTAGGATGTGGCAGAGAGGATGTTTCTGTAACTCCCTGGTTGGAGAACTGCTCACCTGGGCTACCTTCAGTATAAATCAAGGCACAAATAAGTGAAAAATTGACACTGTGGGAATGTGACTTAGGAGCGATGTCTAGTCTGTCCTGGGAAGGTTTACCTGATGCACTCGCTGGATAAAGAAGCACAGACGGAGCTCCAGGAGCAAGAACTGGATGTTCCTAATTCCAGTCCTGGAGTCTGGGAGCTTGCAGATAGGTGTGGTGGAGTTGAGCACTGCCACACCTTGGGCCTCTCCTGGATCCAGCCCTCATTGCTTAGTGCATGCACACTTATAACAGCAGAGGTAATGCCCTAGATTAACCACACTAGCTTTTGTGTGGTATAACTGAAGGGATTTTAAAACTATATGCTTTTTTTTCTTATTTATGCTGTTTGCTTGTTTACTATGCTGCAGTCAGATTGGAAAATTAAAGTAGTCAATGACTTTTTTTTTTATATACTTTTTGGATGCCTATGCATTACCATGAAAGTCAGAATGTATAGATTTATAGAATTTACATGTTATTGTGTATAAATGTTTATATGTTTCAAATGGCTTCCCTGAAATTTTTAATAAAAACAGAAACTTTTTCACTAGTCCTAGGTTATTCAATAGTTTTTGCTGCATCTAAACTCAGAAGCCGGAGCAATTTTACAATACTCAACTGGAAGAGGTAAGCTCTTTACCAAACTCTGTATTTTCTGGCTATTGCAGTTCATGATATACTTGAGTGTATTGTATTTGAGTTCAGTCCTGATTCTGCAAACACCTAAATAGATACTCAAGACTAAGCATGCATCTTTAATGCATTAGGATACAAGAATCCTTAATGGATGAAAGACACAGTATTTCTGCAGAAAGTAATAAAGCCATAGCAAGTTGCTGTTCAGATTTCTGAAACAACTGGCCTATGAGTAAATCGGTTTTTTGTTGTTCCCACAGCTTTATTCCTTATATTATCTCCTAGTTAAGAAGATATAGAGTTCATCATTTGCAGAGATTTACTTTTTTAAAAAAAATGGCTCTCTAGTACACCGCTATTTGATATTCCTTAGATTACAGTAATGTACTCATTTTTGTGTTTGGAACATAGGAAGCTAATTAAAAAACATTATATATAAGCTGCACAAAACACTGCGAAACTATGTAATACAAATATTTTCCACATGAGGGAAGAGGTGGCCTTTCTTATTGAGTGCTGTCTTTTTTATCTTTCTCGGGGCATAAGTGAATGGTGGGAAAGCAGAGCGAGGAGGCTTACTATATCCTTATAAATATTTGCTTTCCATCGATCCGTTGTTCTGTTCCGAAACTGTCATTATACCCGGCGTTATTTTAAGAAAAAAAAAAAAGAAAAGGAAAAAAAAAAGAAAATCAAAAAAAAAAACAGCGCTCA